AGCTCGCGTATCCCACTTACTTTGTGGGTCAGGTGGGGGAGGATGCTCATGGGAAATTGATTACGGCGGCGCTTGAGGACGGTGGCGTCCGGCTCGATCATCTGGCTACGGTGATGGCGGCGCCGACGGGGCACGCCGTGGTGATGCTTCAGTCTGGTGGGCAGAATTCTATCATCATTGTTGGCGGCGCTAACATGAATTGTTGGCCTGAGAGGTTATCTGATGAAGATTTGGAGGTTATAAGAACTGCTGGGATTGTTCTGCTTCAGAGGGAGATTCCAGATTCAGTCAATATCCAAGTTGCAAAGGTCAGAGATTGGATTTTCTTTTTTCTCCATTACTCTTATGATTGAGCTTGATGTGACTTAACATGATCAGTTAGTTTTGGGATCCTGTGCAATGAGATTTGTAAGAATTTGATTTTTGTGTGTTTTTTTGTCTCTCTGGTAGCAGAAAGCATAAGACCTTCTGCAATGGAAGTCTATTTCCTTTTTAAACAGCATCAAAGTGTTTATAAAAAGGGAGAGTCAAATAGTGTCATCCGCCTTGACCTCATCTCAAGTATCTTGGGGAGCTTTAATTGGAGCTATTAAAGTTCCAGCTTCAATGATATAAAAGCCACCTCAACAAATATTTTGTGCTTCGTGATCTGTGTCTAATTTTTCTTGTCATTTAGAACTCTCACATTATGCTCTACTATGTTTATTTAATAATTAGAGTTTAGAAGTGAACTTGACAATTGGCGTGTGATGCCAATTTTTGATGCCACCCACAACCCAATGGCTTCCAGCCGGATTGAACAGAAACCCACGCCCTTCCATCAAGGAGGGGTGACGCTCGTGGGATGTTGAGTCGAACTCGAGGTGGGCTTGCTTTGACGATGATTGCATGTGGTTGTTTCGTTGGTTGCCTTTCAAAAAAGTAAACTTGATAGATGATAAGCTGGTCTAAACACTCATAGATATCCAAAAAGACAAAGAGATAAACTTAACATGTAGTTGTAAAAATTGAGTAGCATGTTTATCCAAACAACGTTCTAAATATTGATGTTGACAGAAATTTCTAATGATCAGTTGCATCATCAGGCCTATATATGTTGCCAGCTACCTTGATTTACTTGTTCTTGGTCAAAAGCCTTCTGCTGAGATTATTTGTTCTTACTTGCACTCAGTCTCTGATTCTTATCTGACTTTTCCCCTTGTTTGCTTCCTTATATTAGTGCATAGGAAATAGGAGTCGAAAATTTTTAGATCTTTTAAATGATGGCAACTTAAATGATTACAATGAAAGGTCATTTTCATTTGTACTTGCATCTATATCTCTCTTGAAAAAGGATGCTACATTCTATGAATACATTGACATTCTATTATGTTAAAGAAACTCAGCAAAAATATTGAAATTTGAATGACATAGCGGAGATCAAATGTGTTACATGAAAGGTGCATTACTTTGAGATAAGCAGATTACAGATCTTTTCTAGTTGAGTTGTTTATTGAAGAAAACATTATTAAAACTTTTTATCTTATTCGCGATTTTTATGCAGACAATTGAATATATTCAAAAGAAGGGAGCTGAAGAGAAAACAGTTTTGAGGCTGGGGAAACCTCTGCCAATAGAATTATTGAAAAAAACGTCAATTGAGATTAACCAAATAGAAAAGCAGTGATTACAAAACAATCTTGTAGAAGGGCATTCCAACAGAAGTGTACAAATGGTATATAACCAAAAAACTTGTCTATATTATTCTACCTAAAGAATATATTTGATTTCTTTCGATCTCTAAAGACCAAAAGGGACCTTAGCTTTATCTTTCAACCACCAAACTGAGAGAACTTCAGGATCCGTCCTAGATTATGTATTTGCCTTCATACAAAGATATCAAGCTTCAGTCGTATAGAAGTTTCACTTCTTCGAATTAGGTGCAAAGATGATGGCTTAAGATTTTTGTACTGCATATTCCGAAATACCATGGACATAATATCTTCCTCTTCTACTGTTGTGGTTAAGAATTGCAAGCTCTCTCTGTTGTTTTAAGAGTTAAAATCTTTCTGAGTTTGCTTTAGTCCAGTAGTGCAATTTAGAACTGTTGCTTTTTCTTTAATGGAATCTAGGACCGCTCTGAAAGGTTTTCTGGGGCAGCTGCTGTGTAGTTGATGCATTTTGAGGACAAAAATAAAGAATCTCAAGAAATTTGAGATGTCGTTAGGTTTCTGGGTTCCTCTGATCCATCTTATTCAAATTCTTTTGTAATTAAGCTTCTTCTTGGTTACTAACAATTGTGAGGCTGTTTCTTGTAATTCCAGTAGGCTTAGATTCGATTTCAGTTGATGTCATATCTCTTCTAAATCCCTTTTGTTTTTTAGCTTTCGTGGAATCACAGTTTCCTAGCTTCTTGTTTGGTGGTACAATTCAGAAAGCCTTAAGTTTCTGAGATGGTACTAACACGAGTATGTTCTTATAATTGGATGTTAATTTATAAAAATTTTGGACTTAGCCCTAGGGCGCTTTAATCTCCTTGCTCCCACTCCCGCTTCCTCCCTTTGATGTTCATTTATTTTTTCTGCATACCTAAGAATGTTTTATTTGTTGTAGGATCAAAATTTAATTTCAATTGGAGCTATTCTCAGTTTTTTTTTTTTCTGCTTAAAATACAATTTGTATGATCTCATGAATCATAATAGCTGCAGGCCGCCAGGAGTGCTGGGGTTCCTGTAATTTTAGATGCAGGAGGAGTCGACGCTCCCATCCCACAGGAACTGCTTGACCATGTCGATATTTTCAGTCCAAATGAAAGTGAGCTAAGTCGTTTAACGGGATGCCCAACGGAAAGCTTTGAACAGATTAAACAAGCTGTGGAAAAATGCTATCAAATGGTGAGTCACCTCATAGATATTGAAGAAAAATTTTCTTGTTGTCATTGTTTTCGACTTGGGCGACTTCTCTTTCCATAATTTGTGCTTTCTAGTCTTTTTGAATTGAATACCTAGATGAATGCAATCTTCGCAGTCTTTGCCAAGGTTCATAGATTTGATCGGATCTGCTGCTCTGCTTAATCATCAGGGATCATGATCAGATCTCAAGTGCTTTCTCCATCTGCTTAACTCCCTGCTAAATGCATGCCTGATTTCAGGGTGTCAAGCAAGTTCTCGTGAAACTTGGGGCCAAAGGTTCTGCTTTGTTTTCTCAAGGGGAAGAACCAATCAAACAGCCCATTATATCAGCCGCGAAAGTAATCGATACTACCGGAGCCGGTGATACTTTCACCGCGTCATTTGCCGTGGCGCTCGTCGAAGGCAAGTCAAAGAAGGAATGCCTGAAATTTGCCGGTACGATCTTCAACACTATCCATCTTATAACATTACCATCATTGATGGGTAAAAAGAAAACACTGTATTACTATACTTCTGATCCACTGAAATTAGACCGTGTCGGCATACGACATGGGTTGTGCTGTGTCTCAGTATAGAATCGAGTTCTATGCCATGCCAATTGTGATTGATATTTGTTCTTACTTTGAACAGCTGCTGCAGCCTCACTCTGTGTTCAAGTAAAGGGAGCCATTCCCAGCATGCCTGATAGGAAATCAGTGTTGAATCTCCTCCAGTCTGTTTGAGACTATTTTTTTACGGCCAAGTAATTTTCTCCATGTGTATAATAAATAATTTAAACTTTTTGAGTTATATAAGAACATATCCTTGGACTTACAAATATGCCCTTCAGCTTTTCTTTTACTTTTTTTTTTCTCCCTTCCCTTTTTTTTCTGTGAGGGGTTGCTTTGGCACATCCACCCATTGTAAGAACTATAGAATAAGAAAATGAAAATTTTAAAATCAAGTCTATATTTGATGGGTGAGTTTGTTTATCCCGACCATGGGAGGGTTAATCTCATGAATTAGATGCATACTGACTTTTACTTTTCATGAAATCATAATATAGGTTTCACAGGTTTGAATTTTTATTATTCATTTTGCTTTGAACAAAAAAAAAAACATCTATGATTCATTCCTTCCCTTCGCAACAATTTAAACTAGATTATGAAAGTTTTAGATTTCCCAATTTTAGGCGTTATGAATACAAGTTTTTAAAGTCATGAGGATGAAAATTTTGATAAGTAGAATTTAGGTTTAAACTACTATTTTAGTCCTTGGATTTATTTTGGTTATGTAATTTCAAAGGGTACATTTTGTCTATATATTCTTAATTTTTATTTATTTTAGTTTTATATTTTCAAAACGTCTATTTTAATCTTATAATTTTAAATAGTGACCATTTTGGTATTTATTTACAAAATTTTAACACAATTTATTCACAATCGAGACCCTTTAACTCATATGGCTACATTTCAAAAGATTAATAAGCAAAGTATCATGCTAAATTTGTGATAAAAAGAAATGAAATAAAAATAAAATTGAAATGACAAAATTGTTCATTAGACCAAAACATACATTTCAAAGTATAGAAACTAAAACCGAAGAATTTCAACCTAGAATTATACGATAAAACTTCAATTCAATCTAATCGAGCTCTGTTTTTTTTTTTTGCATTTATTGCTTTAAAACCTTTTTCTAGTACAATGTGCTTGCTTTGACAGTTACTTTAAAACTCTTGTACCTATAGTGAAAAAGGTACATATGTTTGATAGGATAAATTAATCGATGAACCTAACCTCCTTTGATTTTATTGATTTTCGTTCGTCAATAGCTCGTTCGTCAATAGCATACTAACTGTATAAGAATTAAAATGGTGTTCTTTTTTTTAAGTACAAAGATTTAAAATAGACCAAACTTTTGTTTTGACAGAAAAAAGTAGACAAAAGCTGAAAATACCAGAGACCAAAATGGTATTTAAATTTATATAATATATAAAAGACCCTTAACTATTTGTTAAGTTTTCTTTATTTATCTATTTTAGTATGCTTGGAAAAAAAATTTATTATTTTCTTTTTGGTTTACAAGAAAACAAATCTTTATTCACGATAATAAAATATTCTTTTTATAATGTTATTATACTTTTTAAAAATAGAGATGAAAATTACTTCTGAGGTGTTTTCATAGTTAAGGAAAAAGTATTATCATTACCTTAGTATCAAAGCTTGTTTTGAACCATTTTAAAAACAAAATTTTGTTGTTTTTATAATAAATATATGTTTAAGTTATTATTTTTTCTTTTGTTTGAATGGCTTACATTGCTTACCAATGATGTTATTGTTTAGAACAAAACATATTTCATGTTAATATGCTCTTTGGAAGATTTTGAAGTAACTAATGACAATTCTCCATTTATTCTAAAATTACACACTCATTCCTATACGTCTCAGTTTAATCGCCTTAGATTTATCTGACAACAGCATGAAAAGAGATTATTTGTCCAAAAAGTGGAAAGCAAATAAAGAGGTTTTTTTTTAACAAGAAATAAAAAGGGTTGAAAAGTTTAGTTTGACCAAGGAAAAAACAAAACAAAGAGAGAGAGAGAGTCGTATTTTAAAAACACAAACTTCGAGAGAGATCTTGGGCAGGGATTTTTGCTGGTTGATAGCATGAATTTCGACAAATTCGGTTCTTATCTCCAATACACAGCAGACTTGATGATTTGAAATCAAACACCTGCAAAACCGAACAAACCAATGTCTAAAATGGTGTGATTTCTGTCACATGGATTCTGATGCCTAAGTTGGAATAATCGGAGAAGTAGAGTATAGATGTTGGGGTTTTCAAAGCATACCCCTAGGGTTCGGTCCCCCTCCCTCTTATATCAGTCCCATAGAAATTCTCGTCGAATCTCAATCTTCAGACCCGTTACAAACGTAACTGCGAGATAGTCGTAATTGCAAAACGGGGGTACTGTGAAACGATCGGGTGGGCCGTCAGGCCGAGAACTGCTCGGCGCCGAGAAGGTCTCGACGTCGAGACGCCTGGTCGGTGCCGAGCAGTCGCTGCGCTTGGCGCCGTGGCGCTAGATCAGTGTCGGGATGCTGGGTCGGCTGAGGTTGATGATCTCGGGCACATTTCTTCTTTAACGGTTCGACCTCTCGCCTCATTTGGACGGTTTTGTTCCCTATAACAATGACCCCCACTCTCAAAACAGAAGACGAAAGACTGTGCCAAGAATTTTGTTTTGAGAGTATTTGTTGCTTGTTGCTACCACGAGATCATTTCATAACATAATTCATATTGGTTAATTATGCCAAGGTTTCTAATCCCCAGAGCGTTTACCAAAGACTTTTGTATCCAGTTTTGGATTTACGATGCTTGGTTATTGATACTAGTTTTGTACCTTGAGTTTGTCGATATTATTTCATGAATTAAAAGTTTTTCTAATATTCGTTGGTCACAATCAAGTCTCCCGAGCCTGTTTTTACTCATTTGGCCCTGTGATCTAACTTTAGTAGGGCTAGTATTGATATTGTCGGATTTCCAACTCGTTTGGCTCGTTGTTTATCCAGTACTTCCTTGCTTTAGTTTTGACCATGCTGAGCCGTTATCGGTCTTTTGCCTGTTTTGCTTGCTTCTAGGTCTGTCCCAATTCTGAGTTTCTTGACTGGTCGTAGATATTTACACACAATGATGCCCCCTGCTTGAGAAATTTATTTGAGAATGAACATAGAAACTCAAGTACTTATGCCAAATGTCGAAGACTCTTAGTAAGAAAATCGTCTTGTCGGCAAGTTAGTTACAATAAAATAACTAAGATAAAAGGGGGCTCAGAGTGTAAAGTAAATGTGTCGAACTATTGGTAGTATCTTTTGAGGTGCTGAGCATTCCATGGGTGTAATAAGGCTTTCCCGTGTTAGTCTTCCAAGGCGTAGGTGCCTGTTCGAACTACTTTAGTGACTTTGTATGGGTCTTCCCATGTTGGTCTGAATGCTCCACTAGTTAAATCTTTGGTATTTGGGCATGGTCTTTCTTAAAACTAGATCACCTTCTTTAATGTCGCGTTTCTTAACCTTCGAATTGTAGTATCGAGCTATCTGATTCTTGTAATCAGCCGTTCGTAGTTGTGTTGTTTCTCGATGTTCCTTTAACAAGTCGAGGTTGAGCTACAAGGATTCATTGTTGTCAAGTAGACTGAACAGATCCACCCTTGGGGAAGGGAGACCAATCTCCATCGGCACTACTGCCTCGGAGCCAAATGATAGTGAGAATGGTGTCTCTCTTTTCGATGTACAGGGTATTGTTCTATAGGCCCATAATGCGTTGGGTAGTTCTTCTGTCCATAATCCTTTGAGTTTTTCTAATCTGGTTTTTAGAGTTCTTTTGATGATTTTGTTGACCGCCTCAACTTGCCCATTAGCTTGCGAGTGCGCTGGCGAAGAACGGATGTGCTTAATGCCCAACTCCCTACAAAATTCTTGAAAGGCAGCATTGTCGAACTGCTTTCTATTATCACGAATAATGGTGTAGGGTATTCCAAAGCGGCAAATTATATTTTTCCATATAAAGTCGGTGATCCTTTTCTCAGTAATTGTAGCTAAGGCTTTGGCTTCAGCCCACTTGGTGAAATAGTCGACTGCCACCACTGCAAATTTAGCCTAGCCCTTTCCTAGCGGAAGGAGTCCTATAAGGTCTATTCCCCATTGGGCAAAGGGCCAAGGACTCATTATGCTTGTTAAAGGCTCCGGTGGTTGCCTAGGTACTGTTGCGAACCGTTGACATTTATCACATTTTTGGTGAATTGTGTTCTATCATTTAGCATGGTCGACCAATAATATCCTTGTCGAACTATTTTGTAGTTTAGGGATTGCGCTCCGGAATGGTTTCCACAAACACCCTCATGTATTTCTCTCATGACATAGTCAGCTTCATCGAGTGTTAAGCATTTTAAGAGTGGCAACGAGTAGCCTTTTTTGTACAGACTTTCATCTTTAAGCACATATCTGGCTGCTCGTCGTTGTAGCTGTTGGCCCTCTATCCTTTCATCTGGCAGGATCTCATCCTTTAAATACTTGATCAAAGGGCTCATCCAGTTTTCTTCTGATTGTTCTTGCTCGTCGATATCCATTGTTTCCTAAGCTTCTATGCTCGGCTCGGGTAAAATTTCGACCGGCACAGTTCTTCCCAGGTCGGTTTCATAAGCTGCAGCTAGTCGAGCTGAATCTCAAATTTTGAGAACTGACCGAGCTGGTTTTTAACCTGAGAAAGATATTTTGTCATTCGTGGTTCTCTAACCTGAAACTCCTTTTTCACATGACTCACAATCAGTTGCGAATCACTGAGTATCAGTATGTTCCTGACTCCAATGTACCTGGCCACCTTTAATCCTGCAAGCAGAGCTTCATATTCAGCTTCGTTGTTGGGTGCATGAAAACTGAACCGCAGTACGTATTCGAATCTTTCTTTATCTGGAGAAATCAGTAGAAGTCCTACCCCGCATCCTCTAAAATTTGAGGACTCATCTACATAGAGCGTCCAGGGTTGCTCTTCCTCAACTAGCTGTGCACCAATGCTACATAATTGTGTTAGTTTATTGTATTTTTCCCTTTGCCTTATGATAATGTACACCCCACTCGAGTTTAGTTCAAGTGGGAGTTTGTTGGGTGTGTTGCCCTAAACTCGTAGTTTGTATTTATGTAAAAACAAATGTATATTCAATAAATTTGTTGTTGAATTCATAGCATTGCATTGTCCAAAATCCAATAAACTAAACATCCAAGGTTATTATCATGTAACCAGGACATCATATATACTGGATATATATTTGATATACTAGTTATATATTTGATATACCCCTGATATACAAGTGGATAATATCCCGTGAATAACATAAATGGTCTATAGTATATGGATAAGGCTGGGTACCTTATCCTAGCAACACTATGGATACAGCCCACTTTGTAAATGTTACAGACAACTCGATCATGTGG